CCTCCTTTTTGATCATACATTTCTTGAACAGAATCCTTTAGGCTACTTCCCCTTCATTCTTTGTAATCAACTGCAGATTGTCTGTGCCCTTCATGTGCTTCTCCCAGGGTCCTTGGGATTATCTTCCTCACTTCTTCAGAGACCATAGTGTTCTGTGATGCATAGAGATATAGAGACAACACATAGCTGTGAAACCCAAACATAAAAATGGAGATTCATTCAATTCCTTAAGCAAATGTTTATTAAACAAACCTAGATTTACAAAATCATATTAGCCAAATACCTCTTACTTTTGTGTACAAAAACTCTAGTTCGGTGCAACCTGAATTATTATTGTTTTATTGATAAATTATGTTCCTAAGATGTTCTGAGGTTTACACAACACTTTCCTCACAACAACCCTGTGCAATAGTCAATACAAGTAGGACCAACCCCATATTACAGATGGATCTGAGAGGTAAAGTTACTGCCCATGGTCACACAGCCAGTAAATGTCTGATCTGGGATTACAAACGTAATCTGTAAAATGAGGGAGTCATATTAGATTATCTCCAAGGTCTTTTCCATCTGTTGATCGATAATCCAGGTGTCCTGACTCCAAGGCTAAACCCCTCCCCATCATATCATATTGCCTATACCCCTCCCTCCCACTCCTCTGGTGCAATATTGGAAGATAAATAAATAAATACACACACATCTACACTTATATACATATATACATATACCTACATATGTGTGCATTTATATGTTTATATATTTTAAAGATATACATTTTTCCTGTGTATTCCTTATATTTGTATGCATTTATAGGCACACAATTCTCCACTCTGTTGTTCCTTAATCTTCCTTTTTCCTACAGTATCTTGCAAATGGGCTTCATAACCTGCTCAAGCTCTAATGAACAAGATTTCTATACAAAGAGATCTGTATATATGAGGTCAATCTGAGGCTAAGTATATATTGGGCAGTGAAGAACAGGGAAAATATTGCTTCATACAATTACTCAAAGGGTTTTAAGTACTTGTAACTGTCAGGCCTGGAGCTGTTCACCTGAGATTTTGTTTCTGAAATTGGCCCTGAGAATACAGAACAAAACTGTAGGATTAAGGATGAATTTAGATAAACCAGTAATGGCAAGAAAAGGAAACCACCCTAACACTGCTGGAGTGAAGGAAACTCCTTCTATCCATGAGACAGAAAAAATGAATCATGACTAAAGATTGTATTTTAGGAAATTAGCATTTGCCAATGCTTAGAGAAACATTGGACTGAGGATGAGTGAAGATGCTCTTGACAGGTTCTCAGTACTTTTATAAGGGGGGAGCTATGGTGGAGATGGGACAGGAAGTGCTTGTTAAAGGTAACTCCTGGGGTCAGTTTGACTGGTCCATGGATCTAGAAAGGTTTAGATCTTGTTTTATGTTAACTTAACTGGAACAACTCCAGGGTAGTGATCTTTCTTACTGGAAAATTAGGTACCAAATTAGAAACCTCTCCACCCTCACCCCCAAGGAGAATGTAAGCTTTTTTATTTTTCTTCATATGCCTAGCACTTAGCACAATGCTGAGAAGGAGAACATAATAGGCACTTACTAAATGTTTATTCAATTGAATTGCCTTGAACCATGGGTAAAGCCATCCCCTCAGAAATGGGCTCCAAAAATGTATGAGTCAAAAAGGAGTGCCATTATCCCATAACAATACCTTCATGATGAAAAAAATTGATGAAACAAATCCCATGATAGGGAATGGGCTTTTCTTCACAAGGTAGAACTAGAGTTTAGATTCAGTTTTACCTCTTTTTTTTTTTTTTATAAGTCACCATCTGATGAAACATCAGCCAGGATGCTCAGGATCAGTGTCTGGTTTGTTTGTTTTGTTTTGTTTTGTTTTTTTGTTTTTTGTTTTGTTTTTTAGTAGATAGATGTTAATATCCAAAGACCATCATCTTACCTGGCACTCTTGCTGAAATTTCCAACAGAGCCAGGGATAATCTCTTGATCTTGATTTTTATGGCATTGTTGACCTTGGTTCGGAGGCATTCAGATTAATTTAATCCATTAGTATAATGGAGAAGAAGGCTAATGCACACAGGCAGGGCATCCAAGAGAAGTGAAGATGTTAGGCATAGTAAGTATTGGCTGTTGCTTTCCAATTCACCCTCTAATTCACCCCTGCTTTTAGTTGACTTAGTTTCACTCACTAGGTGAAAACGGAAGATCACATTTTTTGTTAATTTACTATCAAGTACATAGGTGTTCACATGCTCAAGTTTTAAAGTAATAAACAAGTCCTAACTGGATTAAGCATGTTATATGCTTATACTGAGGGCCCTCTTAAAAAAGGCAATAAACAAATGCTAGGAGATTTTAAACGACCTTAAAGGCATTGCTAGAATGTCATTCTTGGTTGTAGATGCTGAGTTCTGGCAAAGTTAAAGAAGAGGAAAATCACTTTACTTTCCTTAACATTGAACATGGATTCAGTTGAAATGAATTATGTTTATTCCACTTGTTAAAAGAAAACTTGGAGTTTGTTCCAGTTTGAGACCACATGCTTTCTGGGAATATATGTTTTATAACAAATCTTGGAATGCAAAAAGCAGGCACATGCCTCTCTGCTGGGTGAGTGTGCAGAGGAGTTCAAGGGGATGTGGACCCTCAGTGGGCCTGCCTCCTCGAGCTGCTCTTGGCATCAGTGATGAGGTAAGGGTGGTTAGTCATCGAAGCAACACCTTGGACCCCTTATTAACAGCTCCTCAAATGAGGCATGTGACCAGGGGAGAGGGGGGAAAAGGTCAACATGGAGTTTGAAATCATTTGCTTCTTTACAAAAACACAATAATAGTCACATATTTTCATTTTTCAAAAATCTTACCCAGAGAGCAGCCAGCTGGAATAACCTTAATAAACTGGCTTTCTGGGCCTCTTATCTCACATGTAAATGCTAATAAGATTGCATCTGGGGATGGAGTACAGCTGTGAATGTTGCATATTTGATTTTTTGCAGCTGTAGGGACTGGATATCATCATAGCTTATAATCACTGATCTTGCTCACTTTAATCACTTCATTTATCCTAGCAATTATGGAGGCTGATTCAAATTTCAGTTGCATTTTATTTGAATAAAATAAGGGAAATTGCATTTAGTAAATTTATATTTGTTACATGCTCAATAAGTGGATCAAACATCACTTTCAGAACTGCCTAATCTTTCTGCCAATCATGCACAGAGAAGCAATCCATTGCACCTAGATTTAGCAGAAGGCAGGTTAGAGAGTGATATACAGTGTTGTGATCCTTGATGGACTTTAAAGATGGGGCATTTATGTAGTAAGCATGTAAAGGAAACATTTGGGAATGCCCACTCCTATGGCAGAGGGGTAAGTCAGTCTAGTCCTTTAACTCCTCTTTCCCCACCCCCCCTATTTAATTGAGCCCTGGAAAAAAACAGTGCTCCATATTGCTGTGATTAGAGATTGATTTTGTCAAGCCAATAAAACAGGCATCAAGGCTCAATAAATATTTTCTTCTGGAAGGAAGGGCTTTTTGTGTGGCAGATGTGATTCTGTTACCTATGCCATTTTGTATTTTATAGAAGCTGGAAATTACAGTCTGGTCACATCACCAGACAAATTTGACATTGTATGTATTTGGAAAGTTCCATCCCAGAAAAGATCAGTAGGCCCCATGGTAGAATAGAAAGTGCAATGGCTTTTGAGGGCATATGGGGCATAATGCAGAGAGAACTGGATTGTGAGTCAAGAGAGACCTGATTTTGAATCCCACCTTAGGTACTTAGTAGCTGTGTTAGACTGGGGAAGTTACTACATCTTTCTGTGCCTGATTTTCCTCATCTGTAAAATGAGTAGGGGTTGGACTCAGTGTCATTTAAGGTCCTTTCCAGCTTTAAGTCTGTTATTTTGTTGACCTGGATTTCAGTCCTTCAATATTTAGCTTTCTGGACCTTAGTTTCCTCATCTGCAAAATAAAGATAGAATAATGATGTATTGGAGTAAGGAAAACATGAGTTCAAGTGCCCTGTCTGGCACATACTAATTGTGTGACCAAGGACATGTCAGTTAATCTCTCCAGTACTCAGGGAACTCTGTAAAACTGTAAATTACAGAGAAGTTCTCGATATGTATCCATGGAGAGGAGTTTCTACCCTGGGAGTTCTTGACAATGATGAAATCACAGGTCTAGAACCCGTCTATCCTTTTTTCCCCACCCACCCCAACCCCCATTCCAAATGCTACCTTCGGAAGCAATAGTAAAGTCTTTTGTAAATTTTTAAGTAATTTTAAAATGTGGGTTATTGTTATTATGCCTGAAGAATGAGTCGTCTCCCTGAACTGCATCAAGATCATATTTGCTTTGCTCTATAAGCTCATTGTTTGGGACCTAAATAAGAAATTTACCAATTATATTCAATTTTTAGCCAGTGGTTATAAGTCCTGTTTCTATAGTAATTAGTACTTTTATTGCAAAACCCTCTGAGATAGTTGGTATTGTCACCATTTTGTAAGTGAGGACATTGAAGCCCAGAAAGTTTCAGTTACTTACCCAGGACTCTAAAGCTCATTAAGTGGCAGAATCAGGACTCAGAGTAGGGGTATTCTGATACTATTTGCAAAGGAGGTTGTAGATCTCTGTAAACGCACCCACACCATGAATTTTTAGCTATAGGAGAAACACAAAGCAATGATGATCCCTTTAAATAACATTCACAGATTTTATAGAAGTGTTGAATTTTATTAATAAACCTGGACACTGGAAACTTATGTGCAAGTTTGGACACCCAGTGACATTTGCTAATCCTCAAGTGATTATTGTACTTGTGCTACCTGGTGCAATGGTCTGTGCGATAAAATGGTGCCTCCCAATTCTAAACTAAATTAGTCAATTGTATTTTAAGATGGGTTTGAGGCTACTCAATGTTTAAGAGTTCTTTGACAAGTATTGGGACACACACCATTGAAAATGTTATGTCTCTTTCAGAGTTCCAGGACAGCTCGATCTGAGGAAGACCGTGATACATTGTGGGATGCCTGGGGTCCATGGAGTGAATGCTCCCGGACTTGTGGAGGAGGAGCCTCCTATTCACTGAGACGCTGCCTTAGCAGCAAGTAAGTGAAGTACCAAATTTTCTTTGGGACTTTGGAGAGAACAAACATACAGGCTATCACTGAGTTTGGTACACATTTTGAAACAGCTACTATAAATAGTTTTGGTACATATAGGTGCTTTTTGGTTTTCTTTGATCTCTTTGGGATACAGACCTAGCAGTGGTATTGCTAGGTCAAAGGGTGTACACAGTTTTACAGCCCTTTGGGTGTAGTTCCAAACTGTTCTCCAAAATGAGTGTACCAGTTCACAACCCCACCTGCAGGTAATTAGTGGATCTGTTTTCCCATACACCCTCCAACAGTTGTCATTTCTGATAGGTGTGAAGTGGTACCTTAGAGTTGTTTTCATTTAATTTTTGTTAATTTTAATTTAATATCTCTAATCAATAGCAATTTAGAGTATTTTTTCACATGACTCTAGCTTTGATTTCTTCTTCTGAAAACTGCCTGTTAATGTCACTTGACCATTTATCAATTGGGAAATGGCTCTTACTTTTATAAATTTGATTCAATTCCTTATGTATTTGAGAAATGAGGCCTTTTTTTCAGAGAAACTTGCCATAAATTTTTTTTTTATATTATTTCATTGTCTGTGGTACCTTTTAGCAAAATGTAGTTTCTCTGATTATCTCTTTTTTTGTTGTTGTTCAGTCATTTTTCAGTTGTGTTTGTGACTATTTGCGACTGTATTTGGGGTGTTCTTGACAAAGATACTGGAGTGGTTTGCTATTTCCTTCTCTAGCTATTTTTACAGATGAGGAATTGAGGAAAACAGAGTTAAATGACTTGCCCAAGGTCACACAGCTAGTAACTATTTGAGACCAGATTTGAACTCAGGAAGATGAGTCTATCCACTGCCCAATTATCTCTTTTAATTACGTCTATTTTTGCTTTTGCTTTGTCTGAGGTCATCATTGCCACCCCTGATTTTTTTTTTTTACTTTAGCTGAAGCATAATAGATTCTGTCCCAGACCCTTATTTTAACTCTGTGTGTGACTTTCAGTTTCAAGTATAGTGTCTCTTATCAATAACATACTGTTGAATTCTCATTTCTAATCAGTTCTGCTGTTTCCTTTTCATAGGTGAGTTCATCCTGTTCTTATTCACAGTTATGATTACTAACTGTGTATTTCCCTCCATCCTATTTTCTTCTATTATCTCTCTTTCTCTCTCTCTCTCCTTCCCTCCCTCCCTCCTCCTTCTCTCTCTCTCCCTCTTCCTTCTCTCTCTCTCCCTCTCTCTCTCTGTGTCTGTCTCTGTCTCTCTGTCTCTGTCCCCCATATTCCTCCTCTCTCTCTCTCTCTCTCTCTCTCTCCCTCCCTCCCTCTCCCTCTCCTTCCCTCCCTCCTTCTCTCTCCCATATCCTTCCTCAAAAGTCTGTTTTGCTTCTGACTACTTCCTTAATCTGCCCTCCCTTTTATCAACCCCCCTTCTCTTATGGGCAGCTAGGTGGCACAGCGGCTAGAATACTAGCTGTGTCATCCTCAGGCAAGTCACTTAACCCTGTTTGCCTCAGTTTCCTCATCTGTAAAATGGGATGGAGAAGGAAATGGCAAAGAACTCCAGTATCTTTGCAAGAAAACCCCAAATGGTGTCATGAAAAGTTGGAAACAACTGAAATGAATGAGTAACAACTCTTCTCTTACTCCATTCCTCTTCTGCTTTTTTATTTTGTAAGACTGTTTAATGTGCTTGGGCCATACAAATCATTTTGTCCCATTTCCAGAAACCGAAAAGACCTAATTAGTTTAAGGTGTCTGAATGAATAATAGGATTAAGTTTCTGTTCTCTATGGTGCCTATATATTGCATTAAATGAAAATAATTAATCAAGAAACATTTATCAAGTACTTTATGCCAGGCAGTGTGCTAAACTAAGCACTGGTGTTACAAAAAAAGGGCAAATAATAGTCTGCCCTCAGGGAGCTCAGATTCAAATAAAGAGTCAGCAAGCAAGTAAATAAGTACATACTTAGTACATACTCAACAGGTACAGTGGGTCCCAAAAGTCTTATTACAGTTTTAAGCTTTAAATAAAGTAAGCTTTAAACTTACTTTGGGGATACCTAGTACATAGAGCAGATGAAAGGTAATCTCAGAGGGGAAGGCAGTACTAGAAAAAAATTTTATTTTTCTAAATCATACCTATACTCATACATACATACACAAACACATATACACAGAGGAAGTCATTTATCTTAAGTTTGCAATGAAAAATCAGGGTTAATTTTTAACAAGGTCTGGCAGGTCCAACTAAGTTGGAAAAGCTTTGACGCTTACTAGCTGTGTGACCCTGGGCAAGTCACTTAACCCCAATTGCCTAAAAACAAAAACAAAAACAAAAAAAAGCTTTGAGCAAGAGCTCAATAATAGACTCTGATTATGTCTTTCAAGGACCAGCCAAACTAAGCTTGGAGATGCTTATCACCAGAGGAGTGGCCACTTGCTAATTAGCATTATTGGCCATGCAACTCACTAAGACCTTTGGGTTTGTATGGAGGCTTAACATGTTAAGGTAATGGTTGAAAGGCAGGATTGTTCTCACCAACCAAAGAAATACAGCCATTTGTTTTTATATTAATCCTAAAGGAGGAATTTCTAATTAGTAATAGAATTATCATTTACAATATTTAGTCTGTCATGTTGAGAGGCAACATAATTTAGTAGATGGAGTTCTGGACTTAGAGCAGGGAGGGGGACTTGCTCTCCTTTGACACCTTTGACATAGACCGGCTGTGGGGCCCCAAGCAAGTCACTGAATCTCTCTGAGTCTCATCAGTAAAACAGGGATAATACTACTCACAGAGTGGTTGTGAGACTCCTAAGAGACAATGTTTGGAAAACATTTTGTAAACTTCAAAATATCACATGAATGTCAGCTGTTGTTACCGTTGTTTGTCAACATAATCATTTTAATAACAGCAATAGTAGTAATAGTGCATGAATAGTCTTGTGGGTTAATGTGTATCTTCAAAGATTACCAGGTGCTTGGGCTGGGATTCTTATAATCTAACCACTGCTCTGATTCTTAGAATCTAGTCAATACTTGCAGACTCCGAGATTCCTCAAGAGTCTGGCAATATGGCAGATCTTTAATAAATCTTGCTTTTGGATGGAAAAAAAAGATTACCAGGTGCTTTTCAGAAAAAGAAAGGAGGGAAAGGGAAGGAGAAGGGGAGAGAAGGAGGGAGAGAGAGGAAGGAGAAGAAGAGGAGGAAGAGAGACAGAGAGAGACAGACAGACAGACAGATAGAGACAGAGACAGAGGAGAGAAGGAGAGAGGAGAAAACACAAAACATTCCCCTACATTAAGTTTATTAAGAGAAGATAGAAGTATTTTTTAAATGTCATTACCAACACAGAGTTTGTGTTACCAGATTATCAATCAGTAAATGGGAATCTTGATTTTAACCTATATTTGGAAAAGCTGAATGTTGAGCCTATAGTTAGAACGAAGATGAGAGATGAAGAATCAACCCCACGGACTAGTGGAAACAAGCCCTAGGATTTAGTGATAGAATTTTTTTTGTCCCTTAAAATAGTGATTACCATATTTTTCAATTGTATGATCTATTTCTATAGCTACCCCCAAAGCATAAAATCAGATTTGCTAAAATATTCTTTTTTAATAAAAGATATCATTTGACATTGAAAAGTCTACTTATAATTAGTACTACTTACAATTATATCTATAAGTAGTACTACTTATAATTATATAAAATTGCTATGCATAATAAAAACATAAAATAAAATAAATAAAAAGTCTTCCTTAATTGTCTTCCATCATCCAAAGGACATCTTATTCCACTTCCCCCTGTTCTGAACACATCCTAAGAGACACATATTGTGCCTCTTTCTGATCACCACATCTAAGAAATTATATTTAATGACTGGAATGTCCCTAAAAAAGACTACGTGGAAGATGAAGAGATTGGTAATAGGAGAACCGATTCAAGGAAATGGTGATGACCGGTCTGAGGAAGTAAAACTTAGAAGGAACTTTTCAACAATTCAGTTCAAGGAAAATTTACTAAGCACTAACTTGCATTAGGACATTACCATGCCTTTGGATATTTGAAGGGTTGTCATAACTAGGAAAGGTTAGGCCTTTTCTTCTCAACTTTATAAAGCAATGAGTAGAAGTTGCAGAGAAAAAGATGTGGATGATGTTCCTAATAATTAGAGATGTCCAAAAATAGAATGGGCTTCCTGGAGATGCGGTGATTTCTCCAGCATTAGAAGTTTTCAAACAATGGCCAGGTAACAATTTTCTGGGGATGGACTGGTGGGTACAAAGGAGGGGTGGATGTTAACTCCCTTTGTGATTCATTTATTTGCTTCCTTTTGGGTATCCAATTTCCTAAATCTGTAATGCTTGATTGTATCTGGTGATAACACTTCGAAGCTTCCTTAATAGTATCACACTGAAAAGCCCAATATGGGAAATCTCGATAGTTTTGTTGACTGGTGTCTTTAGATTGACATCCATAAATGATCTGTGAAGAAAAGCCAAATTATGTCTCATGAAACTAATAAGAAATGCATGAATTCCCATCTGGTCCCTGAAGAAAACTCGGTGACACACATGTTATTGTTGATAGAGCCTGTCACTTGAGATGAGAAACTGAGAGGGAATTTAAGAATAAATGAAAACCTCAAATAAAATCTTCTTGCTCAGCCAAGAACCAAATATTTCTGCTATTGGTAACTCAGAGTGGCATTTAGACCACTTAGCAAATTGTCACCACAGCCAAAAAAAATTCATCACCCTATGATGATGAGACTTTCTGTAATTTGCTAATTTGTACCTCAAAGAGGAGACAGTCTATTGCCAGGACTGTCCTTGGGCCTTTGCAACATGGTAGAACCTACCAGAGCTTGTGTTCCACTGGCACAGTTTTCAAGAACCTAAGACATCGAAATAAGATACAGAGTCTCAAAAGGATCAAAATTCCAGGTGACTCTAAGTACAATGGAAAGAACCATGGCAAATCTAAATA